TCGGCAAAAATCAAACGGGACCCAATTATAGGAATCACAACGAGTCAGTGAGCAGGGGGAACTCTCTTACCTGGAAAACACCAAGGCATTTGTGTACACTTTAAGCGCATTCCACAAGTACACACTCGCACTCGCACTCGCACCCACACACACACCCCCACCCACACACACACACCCACACACCCCCACCCACACACACACCCACACACACACACACACACACACACACACACACAGAGGTGAAGAATAGAATCACACACGCAGGAGAATAAACTTGTGCAGCTTCATGCACACAACACAAATGCATAGACTTCTCCCAAACCTAGTGTGTATCCTGATAATTAGCCTGGCCAGGCCGGTGTGAAATTACTGTTCTCATCTGCTAATGGATGAGGAGACCTGGAGCGAACAGACGCAGACACACACATGCACACACTCCCTTCGCCATTGAAATAATAAAAGTGAGACAGACTGAAAGTGTACAAGACAGACAAACACAATTTTGCATATAATGAAAGAATAAAGTCCTTGCACTAGATATTCTTTTAGGAAAGTTCATTATTTTAACATGTGGCTGCAGGACTTCTAGGGGTTGGTGACATTACACCATTACGAGACATCTGCATGGTGAAGGACTTCTGGTATATAAAGGTTTAGCTATGAGGAGCAGGAGGAGGTGGTGGTGTAGTGGGCTCTAAAACTATTATTAGTACTGCTTGTCTGTCATAGAACACGGGGAGTACATGACTGGGAATAAATGAGAGGAAAAAGATGGATAAATGAAGAGAAAGAGAGTGAAGGAGAACGTGAGTGAGAAGACAGGGAGGAAGAGAAAGTGAAAAGTGAACCTGTGACCTTAGATCAAAGAACTGGTCACCGTGGGCTACAATTAGGGATGGCAGGAGGGAGAGCATAGGTCAAGAGAACAGGGCTACACACGCACGCACGCACACACACACACACACACACACACACACACACACACACACACACACACACACACACACACACACACACACACACACACACACACACACACACACACACACACACACACACACACACACACACACACACACACACACACACACACACACACACACACACACACACACACACACACACACACACACACACACACACACACACACACACACACACACACACACACACACACACACACACACACACAGACACACAGACATCAAACAAGTAACCAACATGTTGTTCTGTATTGAACTACATTCATGTTGAAGGTACAGTCACTGTAGCTGTGGACGTGTACGCACTAGGAGTGTAACTGTGTATGTATTCATCCTAACCCATCATGGTTTGGTGCATGCAGTCATACCAAGAATACATCTGAGTGGAGAAAAAAGGCAATCACACATGGTAACAAACAATAAAGGAGAAGGAGCAGACAAAACAAAACACACACATTACAAGAATAACAAAGCAAGATGACACGGCAGAGCTAGAAGACCAGTCTGTATCTTTAAATCAGTTATACAGTATGTCATTGGAAATGCTTCAAATATGGCCATGAATATTAGACAGCAACACCCAGAGGTGCCATACTTTGGAGTCAAGCAAATGAAAACAGGTGTGCCAACAACTTATTCCCGCTGTTCTTAAAAAGCCTCTGGATGTGAAAGCAGATAAGGTGATAAAGCAAGATGCTTATACATTTTAACGGCTTTGCGCACATATGCGGCATTAGAGGACGTGGCCTCAAGTATTTATGAAGAGTGTTGTGCTCAAGCTTCGTTACAATGTCCTATCCTGTGCGTACATGAGCCAGTCCCTGGTCTCCCTTTTTCCCCCCTTATGAGCAGTGATTGAGCATGAAGTGTCCACTGCACACACATCAGCACTAACAACAGGCGAATGGACCTTTCCCTGCTGAATAAAATCCCACAGTGACTGCAAACTTCATCAACTTGGAGTAACCAATATCAGTCAATCAATCAATCTTATTTGTACATAACCAATTCATAACAAATGTTAGGTCAAGACACTTTACAAAAAGAGCAGGTCTAGACCATAGTCTTTGTTACTCTTTATCATGCACCGTCACCTTCATTAATATGATACACTGCTCATACAAGCACAAATCTTACTGTGTCTTACATTTGACATTTTATTTATTTAATATTATCAGATCAGAAAATGCTCAGTCTTGCTTTTCATTTTCATAATTTTGGTAACTGTTAATTTAATGTTTAACAAAGTAGAGGCTGTAGCAACTATTGCAGATAGTTCCAGTCAACACTATGCAAAACCCTCTAACTTAAGCTTCTGTCAGTTCAAAATAAATTGTAGTACCGGACCGTGAGCGCAAAATCAAAGTATTAACCAAACTGTGACTTCTGTGTACTGTTACACCCCTTGTAAGTATGTATACTAATTCAATTTCATTTCAATCACCTCGTACAGACATAAAACTGTTGTCAATATTTTTGGTGCTACTTACGCATTCATACGTCAGTTTGTATGTGCATCTGATTTATCACAAAGGACAAAGGCCCACCTTTTTTTTCATCAAAACAAGAAGAAAGAAGAAAACTTCTAGTCCTGTAATGAAATGTAAAAGAAAGATGAGAAATACGAGTTCAATTATTATCTGTAGTCCTCCACCAAAACTGTTGTACCAGACTTTGATAGAGGTTTACTTTATTACTTTATACAAACACTAAGTATAAAGTACTCTGACTCTGTAGTGGCTTGTGTCAGCGGGGAAGGCAAGAGGATGAAGAATTATCTTTGCAGTGGGAGCAGACCCTGTTCGTGATTCCAGCTTTTCATTTTGCTCTTGCGGAGTTCCAGAAAGTGTTCAAAAAAAAATGTACACAAGTTTTTTTTATATGCCGTATACATATTTATATATCTTACCACTTGCGATTATTTTGATGAACAATTCTTTTTTAAATATATTTTTGAATGGCTGATTAAACATTTCTGGCACTAAAGAGAAATGTGCAGCCACAAAGAACTCACGTGTTCTACAGGTTTGATTAAGATATGTTTCAAGTTAACACACGTACACTTACTATAACAAATGAACTGATTGGTCATTTGTCCTCTGAACCCCCAAAACAGCTAATGTAGCCCCCTCCTCTCCCTCTGCACAAATCATTGTGTTGCCCCCACATTAGCCGTTTCCCCGGAAGAATGAAGGCTGCTTTAATTGAATTAAATTATACCTTATGCATGCTAAACCGCAAAGCACCTACTTAGACGGATGGAGAGTTAAATGGGAAAAGCTTGGGCCTCTTCAGCTGATAACATGGACACATACACACACACACACTAATCAAAACAAGACATCAAGTAATCTAATCTGAATCACTAACAATTATCAGCACACTGGCCTCAAGGCCAGTCGTATTCCTTTGATCAATGTTTTCTATTAAAAAAAGTGTAAACAATTCAATATCGCTCGCCCCTCCTCCTTTCCCTCCTGCGCTTATTCATGTGGGGGATGTGTGTGGGGGATGAGTGTGTATTTATGTGTGTTTGTAAAGGGGTTATTAACCAATTGTCCTTGGAAATGAGTAAGGAAATCAGAGGAAGAGGGACCAAGAAAGAGCTGAGTGTAGGCATGGCTTCTTTAAGGAGCTAATCTATGTGAAGTCAGCCATCTTCCCGCACAACAAGGCAGGGAAGAGGACCTTTTTTTGTCACCAAGGAAATATATCGCCACTGCAACAGCTTTGAAAGAACTCTTTTAATTTGCTTTCGTCCTCTGAAGACTTTTAACACCACTAGTCCTTGGAAGTTCCTCATTTATTCCTGCAGATTATGCCGAAATGGTTATTCCTGTGGCCTGCACACAGGCTCAAACGCACACATTTGCCTGCCACTGACAACACACTTATTTATGCACAAACGCACACAAACACACTCTTTAAAACCATCTAATTCAAGGGCATATATCTCTTTAAGAATTCAGGCAGAAAAAGCAGGGGCATGCAGCTGCTGCCTTTTAGATATTTCATTACCAAAGGGTATTTATTTCATTTTACCCTCAAATCCTTTGTCGTCCGATTCTCAGAAGGCCATATTTTTCTCTTACCACCCTTTCCTTTCTCGTCACTGAGGATTTGACCACAGTGCATTCCCAGGGTAAGTCCTGGTCCATCGGTGTGCCCCCCTCCCTTCCAGTATATTATATTCAGTGGAGCGTGCTGGGTTCAGAGCTGCCAATTTCACTCGCGTCCTCTCTGGTCTAGTTTGCTTTGGTACAGCGATTCTCATCCCTCCTTTTTTTAAACCACAAATGTACTTTTGCTGACAGGTGTTTGTGTACAACATTTACTCAATGTTCAGGGGAAATTGAGGGGCAACAAATTAGGTTGGAATGTCATAAAAATTGGGCAGTCTTAAGATGACCAAGAAGAGAGACTGGACGAGACAGAAGAGAGAGTGAAGGAGCACATCCTCTTTTTTCTTACCGACATGTTTGGGTTGCGACGCTCAGCAGTCCATAAGAGAGTCGGAGAAGAAGTTAATAAGGAAAAGTCTTCTTGCATTCTCAAAGCCTTTTTATAAAGTGTTCAACAAAGTGGACTGCCAGAGGATGAGACAGTCTGGACAGGCTTTTCCAGCATGTTGCAAGTGTAGTGAGCAGAGAACTGTGGAAGTGACATAAAGGGGCTGAAGAGGCTGCTGGTCACTCTATTAGCTGTTTCGGCACACTGAGGGCATGCTGTACGACACTCCACTGCATGGTATAGCAAGGAGGCAGGAACAGACAACCCAAACTCACTTACTACACACAGGAGAGGTCAGACAGACCTGCCCCTTTCTCAGAAACCTGCAGACCAGACTGACACAAACTGAGTCTTCCTCTGCTGTGATAACAGCCACTTTTCTTGTTTTGAAATAACCACAGATCTGACCTCCTCGACAGTATCACAGTGAGCAATGTCAACAGTTTCAGCCTTGGAAAAAGTGTACACACACACACACACACACCGACACAGCACACTTTGACTTACATCGCAGACAGTTGTGGCTCTGTTTGATGCACTGACAGCTAAGTTTGGGATGTTTTTGTTTCCGGCCTTCATTGCAGCATCTCTGCGAGCCTGCTCCAGGAGCAGTCGGGCTCTCTCTTTCAGCTCCTCTTGACGAGACAGCACCTTCTGTGTGTAACAATAGAGACAGAGTGTGAAGGCATGAAACAATGTTAATGACAAGAAGCAAGGCTCTCTCACAATGTGCATATACAAGAATATTATTTCAACGCGTTTAGTTTCTTACTGGCTAAAAACTTTTACTCACCTTCTCTGCAGTGACGCTTGATACAGTGGCAGGTGTTGGCTCCTTTACAAGAGAAAAATACAATATTTTTTACTACAGGTGCAGTCACAGCTTTCAAAACAAATTTGTATCATTTGCAGTCACGATTCTTTCCCTAATATGCCTAAACAAATGAATTTACTGACCTTGTGGAAATAATTAAGAGGCATGCCTCAAAAATCTATACTGGATTATTTACTGAGAGTAGCAATCTTTCGTACAAACAGCTTTGCCATTTCATCCTTGTACAGTAAACAGATAAAACAGAATGAATAAAAACGGCCGAGGGTATACACCGTATGATATGCAGGGCCTGCACCTGGGCATTAAAGGGCCGGCCTACAGCTGGGCTCACAGGCCTGTTTGGGTCCAGCAGTGTGGAGAGCATGACGGCTTTGACAAGAAAAGCAAAACACACATACCTAGCTTAGAGTTTTATCTGCAAGGTAATCCAGGCTGTATTGTAATGGGGTGCAAACAGGGCAAACAGAGCTTTTACATTTGGCTTAAACAGAATACCATAACAACCCAGCTGTTTTTAACACTGAAACATATTTATCCTTTCAACAAGTCTAATCTGACCCGGGTGCAGGCGAGGATGAATCCCACAAACTAGATATAAGCAGATCAAAATGGGGTGTCATAGCTGTCATAACCCCCCTGTCGCCCCAGCGTCTGCCCCGTGACCTTTCGACTTGTAAACAGGAAGCGGTAATCTGGGGTTAACCGACGCAGGCAGGAATGTATTCAATGTGTGTGACAGTGTGTACACACACATACAGGTGTGAGTCAGTGTGTGTGTGAGACGAGATGAGGTGTTCTGTGCGCAAAGCGTCGCCACGCCTGAGCAGTCACGGCACCAACTGCCATCAACTGAGGGGATGAGAAATATAATGAAAAATATAATGAAATGTCAAAGCAGGGGGGTTCTCCTGGGTGCCTTCCATAGTCGCCACATGTTAAGGGCCTGGCCTCAATGCGTCTTGGTCTCGACAACGAGACAGGTCGACGACAACATCTAATGCAGAACGGGAGAATTTCAGTACGGTCATCTCTGCAATGGCATCAATGAGGTTGGGATTTATAGCTTAGCAAGTGCCAGGAAGGGATGAATGTTCGCTGCATCCTCTGTCTTATGACTGATGTAGCCGTGAAAATTTCAATCAAAGCCACAATGCAAGGATAAAAACCTGAACGATTCATTTAGGGGCCAGCCAGGAACCTGCAGGTAAAAGGCTGTCAAATGTTAATGCCTGACATAAGTAGAAAGATGGAAATAAATCTTCATCATACAGACAGAGCAAGACGTTGTTTAAGGTTTAGGATTTATAATTAGCTGTGAGACAGTTTAAAGAAGATGTTAGGCTGGCTTCTTATTGGTTTGCCTTGCTTCGTTCAGTTGTCCCCCTGTCAGGTTTGGAATAGATTTTAAGATTCAAACGGATCATTTTAAAGGCATCTGGTTCTGGCCAATTAGTAGAAATTTTGACAGAATATGGAGTCAGTTTTCAACATCAGGTCTGAAGCTGGGCCTTCTGGCAGTGCCAAAGTTAAGATCTAAATCTAAAGGTGAGCATCTTTATGCTATCTCTCAGCTTGGAATGATCAGCCCGAGGAGAAAAAAAGCTGGTTGAAATAGTGACTTTAGTATCCACTTCTTAAATGCATTTTATATTCATTCTTTTATTTCGTTTGAATCTTTTTTTTAATGTATTCAGTAGTTTAAATATCTTTAAAAAATGTTTATCGTCCTTTACCTCTACATATGATCGTATTAATATGTT